TCTTCCTTCAAGTACATTGAAATCAGGAACAAAGCATTGAAAGATCAAAAGCCATTCATCCAATTTAACTCAATTGCATCAAAGTCTGATTCATTTATTTAGTTTATATTTGCTTCATTATCTATCCTGTCACATGCCTTGTGAAAAGAATATAAATAAGCCACCACTACAGCAAAACAGGTTTTTAGCGGTGCAAAAAATATTTGTGGCGCAAAAACAAACCGCAAAAAGCGCCACTGAAACAAACACCGCAAAAGGTAGCGGCGTTTGTTGTTCACAAATTCCGCTAAAGGTTATGTTTTTTAGCAGCTTTTTTTTAAAAACATCGCTAAATGTAATGATATTTAGTTGTATGTTTTTTACAAACGTCGCTAAAGGTTATGATATTTAGCAAAATATTTCTCAAACACCGCTATTTATCTTTTCTTTTGTGGAGTTTTGTCCCAAAAACGCGCTAAATGTTCTGGCATGGTGTTTGTGAATGTAAAATGTCGCTATTGACTATGTATATAGAGGCGTTTTCCGTATAAACACCGCAAAAGATCTAGAACTTTAGTGGTGTTTTCAAAAACGTCGGTATTGACTATATATTTAGTGGCAGTTTTTAAACAAATGCCGTGAATTAAAACTAATTTTGTAAATGTTGTTTTCTACTCTTTTGTTATCCAAATTTAACTTGTAGCATTATCCAATAAACTTTACATCCATAGCAAGAAACTTGAAATCCATAATAATAAATCAAAGTTTACATTAATGTAAAATATAATGTTGTTCAACATTGTTAACTAGAATAAACAATAATAACACCTATGATGGTGGACTCTTAGGTTGATTTTGTCGTATCATTTACATCATAGCTTGAAATTGATTTTGAAAGTCTTCACATTTTTTTGATATGCTGCTTCTCTCTCTGTTTCCCTTGCTTCAGTTTCGACTCGATCCATTTTGATATTCGTTGCGTACCCTTGACAAATCCATCCAACTCTTATCCATTTCGTATTTCTGGATTATCAATTTCAAATGTTAATTGCTAATATTATAGAGAAAGTAAGCAACTAAACATAAGCATTACATTTAATTTCACAATTGAGAAAAAATCACAACAAACTAAAACTCACAACCAATATATCAAATAATTATCAAATAAATTATGACAAAAACTATTTTTAAAGTTATTAGCTATTCATGAGTATTTCCCTTCCTTCTTCTGAGTTTAATTAAAACCAATTAATTTTGGAACAACACAATTAAGAAATGAACATGAATGGAAGTTGACAAAACGAATAAATTACCCCAATAAGACAAGCACAATCGTTGCTTTATATTGTGAAGGTATTTCCATCAAGGCTGAGACTGCAAATTCTGCTTGCTTTCTTGACGGATTCATCATCTTTGACATTATCTCAGTGAAGTTCACAAACTAGTACGATCAAAATTAAGAACTAAGTACACTCAGAGACTAGCAAATTATGTGGAACTCGGAACTTAATTCAGTTAGTTCGTGTCCCAAGGTCCGTCACCAACCCCGACTAGGACAATCGACAACAGAATTCACTGCAGCCAAATGACCATGTGAGGATATATGTAGATTTGGTGCTATATAGGAAGTTAATGGGAATTAACTTGCATTTACAATTGCATCAATTGTGTTCTTCTCCTGGGGGCTGAGCTGACCATGATATGTGTCAACACTTCTGGTCACCTAAAATATACATAAGATGAGATAGTTTTTTTTTACAAAAACTGAGGGGTCCACCCATAATCTCAATCCGAATAAGTCAGTTGGATAAAATTACTATCGTTGAAAGCGAAAGCGAAATCGGCATCGGAGCTAGAGGCCCCGAGCAAAAGAAGTTGCTGGTATTCACTAGTTCAACTCAAGGATCCTAAAGTCTAATTCCATAGAATAAGTTACTACTATAAATTATAAAAGGAAAACTGGGACTCTAGCACAATGAGAAGGTAAAGAATAAAGATACTTTAAAGAATTTCAAACATATATAAATTACAAAATAAATAAAAACTCACCAGGCCACATAGGATTGTTGAAGTAAACAATTTTATCAGCTTTATCTGCGAGTGATGAAAAAGGAAGCAATAAAGAGACAAAACTTTAGAATCTAAGGTATAAAGGGAAGCAACAAAGAGACAAAACTTTGGATAAAAGTTACAAATCACATAAGCTAAAACATGCTGAGGAGAAGACCATAAAAGCATCTGTCTAGATCTTCATCTAGTTTCTTTCGTTTGATGGCTTGGTTTTCTAGAGCCAGATTAGGAGTTCCAGCATTGTCGGTTTTCGGCTTCAACACCGAGGGGTTCCGTATCATACTATCTATCTTTTTAGCCGTCTGATGCTTCTTATCACTCGCCAGTTTTTTCTGAGAAATCATCAATGGTTTAGGGATGCAAGCTTCAGCTTCTACTTGCACAATAGATTTGCTTTTCTCTTCATCATTGGGAACATTTAAAAGTGATTTTTCAGTTAGGGCACTGAAAATCCAACATAAAGGTATCAAAGAACCAAAATATTCTTATAGAACTCGATTAATGTTGGAAAAAAAAACTCTCTTAAGAACAAACCTCCCATTTTTTTGAGCGCATACAGTCTCTGTGTTTTCCTTATCTTCATCATCATTAACATTATGCAAATCATTTAAATCATATGAGAATACATAAAAACTAATATACGGAATGTATTAAAAGAAAGTCCACGAATTACCTCAGTGACAATTTGATTTATTTCAACCTTTGCTTCGGAGGATTTAACTTCTTCCTTTACTTCATCAGGCACGAGCTCGGCTTTAGGCTTGTCTTCCAAATTGCTGCTTGTAGGTGTTGCATCCGATGATTCTGATGCATGCAGCAATAATATATATTGACCATGATTGATAAAAAAGAGAAATTACTGTGTGAGATGATGAAATTAAGTAAGGTTATATACAAGCAATTCGAACCTTCTGCTTTTAATGTTCTTCATTAAAATTGCAGAGACTCTCCACATGAAATGATCTACTACCAGCCTTGATTCTAGACATAAAAGCTGCTTTATGATAAATACCAGAAGGAAATTAAAAATCTCCACTTTTCTCCTTGATAAAAATGCAACAGTTTTACTTGGCAGCAGGTAAATTGTTGATTAGATTTACATCCCAATATCCTTGAAAACTATCTTAATTCGGTTAAGCTTAATTACATCACATTTTTTTTTCACTATAAGATCTAAGCAATTAAGAGAACGACGAGCTCTAGAATTTTCGGAATATAATTCAATAACAAACAATTAAAATCAATTAGGTTAAAATCCAAAGTAAAGTAATGACTAAATCAAAACCCTAAAAATACCAAGAAAAAGCAAGAATCACGGATCAAAACGATACTATTACAGAGAAAATAGTAAGAGAGAGAACATACGGGAAGGAGTGTAGCTCCAGGCGGTTTCGAACCAGTGCTCGGCATTGTGTGCTTCGTCTTCCGATTCTCCTTTCATGAAATCAAAGAAACATAGCGTCGAGAACTATATAACTAGTCGATAACTGTGGTCGTCATAACGTTTGATCCGTCCATCAATTCCTAAAGCAGTGAGATTTTTTCTCACTGTTTTGTTTTGCTGGGGGAGGATTATAATTTGGTGAAAAGGGATTTTCTTCAGTCTCCGATTTTGGCACCAAAATTGTAAATAGCCATAATAAAAATAAAAAAGGGTTAAAAGGGCGTGGGACTTAGAAACTATAAAATTGCGGCGTTTGTAAAGACAAACGCCACTAAAGTAAGTGTCTTTGGCGGCGTTTGTATAAAAATACCACTAAAGTACGAATCTATAGTGAAGTTTGCAAACACAAACGCCATTAAAGTACGAGTCTATAATAGCGTTTGTATAAAAACGACACTACAATACGAGTCTATAACGGCGTTTATATAAAAACGCCACTAAAGTGAGTCTATAGCGACATTTGTATAATAACACCACTAAAGTATGAGTCTATAGCGGCGTTTGTATTAAAACACCACTAAAGTACAAGTCTATAGCGACGTTTGTATTAAAACGTCACTAAAGTATAAGTCTATAGCGGCGTTTATATAAAAATGCCACTAAAGTACGAGTCTTTAGCAGCGTTGTATAAAAACGCCAATACAATACGATTCTTTAGTGGCGTTTATAAACAAACGCCACAAAAGTCTGAGTCTTTAGCGGCGTTTGTTCAAAAAACACTGCTAAAAATGGCACTCTAAACCCATTTTGCTGTTGTGCACCATATTCCACTTTGTAACTCACATCTTAATTATTTTGAACCAGGCGTCTTTCTTGTCCTTGACAAGTTAGAAATTTATCTCGTTTCTATTTTAGAATTATCAAGCTAGTCTTGTGGCGTGTTCTATCTTCCAAACTTATCGATTTTTAAAGCGTGACGTTCAAACCATCAAATTATAACTTTGGTTCTTATCTATTCAATAGATAGCAGGTCAAGTTCCATATTTTATCCATTTTGTTATATTGATGGTTCCTAACTCTTTATGGTAATTGGGTCTTGATCCATTTATTCGTTAAGGATTCCTACACAACGTCACCAATCCATCACCACTCTTTCAGCTTCGGCACAAATGAATCCAACCCTTCAATTCAAAGAGTAGTTGACTCAGGCAACCTTAATACAGTCAAGAACACAAGCGTCTCAGCTTCATCCTACGAAGGCGTGATTGCAACATAGTGCAATAAATTTTGCTGTGTTTAGACCTAAAAAATTTGTTATATTTTTGTTAGGAAAATAGCTCAGTGTAAATTAATGAACAATAGCATGTGGTAGTGGGTTTTGTTAAGCGGGCAGACTGATTTTGCTGAAATGCATAGGCAATGAAATTCAATCTTATTCGTATATCTCTATAATTAATCTCTTTATCCAGAGGCATACAGACCAACCAAATCGGTTGTTTGCATCATACATAGGCACATTACAGGAATCACAACTCCTTTACCAAGAGATGGACTCCATTTTCTGGCTCTATCGCCAACCATAGAACCGGAGAATGGGTGTAGTTGGGAGAAAGGGAGAAGCAAAATTGCACAAAAGGAGAGCTATTACTAGTTTCAGTTCAACCATCGCCAAGTTCTGTCCCAGGCACACTCGAGGCCCGACCCCGAATGGCATGTACGTTTGTGGCAGCTTGCAGGCACCCGCTATCCCTTCCTCAAATCTGTTCGGATCGAATGTGTAGGCCTCTTTACACCAAATTTCAGGGCCAGTGTGCAATGCCAACACCATAATCCAGATATTTACACCCTTGGGTACCAAAATCTCCCCAAACTTCATATCTCCAATGCTTCCCTTGACACTATGGCTACCGGCGGATAAAGTCTTAACGATTCCTGAATCACCATAGTAAGCTGCATCACACAGAACAAGGATTCCAAGATTAGTTCATAATCTAGTGAGTATCATTCTGTCATGTGTATAACGTTACCTGTTTCATCTTGCGAAGCATGTCGGTATCCAGTAAGTCCTCCTCGTATGCTGCCATCTTCTCTCTTTTACCACCTGCAGTATCAGTTCACGTATCTACTTTTCTAGTGCCCATGCTTCTCTTTTGCTTTTTATGGGAAGATATCTGTAATGAATCACTCAAAAATTTCAATTCAAATTGATTATACAAGAAACAAAAAAAAAAAAATGCACAAGATAGATGGGATTTGAAATTGCAAAGAATGCATACCTCGAAAGGTCTGAGCTTCAAGAAGATATCTTCGCCCCTACAATAACTGCTTCCGAAACAGACAAGCAATATACAATTAAGAGGCATGCAAAATACGTACCGTACTATTTCCTCCATTTCGGGAAGAAAGGAAAGACAAGCGCGGCGCAGTTGTGAGTAGACGATGGGCTAGGATCATTAACAACGGCGGATCGTGCCGTCTTAATCTCTCTTTTAGAAGCGAAATCTATTAAAAAAAAGGAGTTTCTAGTGTATGGTAGAAAATTATTACGTTGAAACATGATCGATCCTTTGAGTTTTTTATATTTGAATGCTATAATGCACTTTGCTTAAAGTTTGAAGCAATCTCGTGTTTTTAAAATGGTGTTTTAAATGTACCATTTTATGATTTCATCATAGCAACCAAACTATTATTTAAATTGGCAGTTTACACTCGATGTCAGTTTCCTTTATATGTGTAAAGGAATTTTAATGGTTTTCAGGGGTCATTTAAAGTTAATTAAACATAAATTGATTTTAAGTTATTTTTGATGTTATTAAATGGCCATTATTCAACATTAAGAGGATCACTCAAAGCTGTCATTTTTATGATATTTACGAAAATATGTAATATCATATGGAAAAAGAAATATGTATATATAATAACAAATGAGGTATTATAGCCATATATATCGTTAATTCATCAAGGAATTCAGTGGATTAATGCAGTTAGTGTGTTCCGAGTTCATCGCTATCTTAACAAGTTCAAAATTCGTTCACTTGGTTAAGAAAAGAGCTACTCATTCTCACTATGTATTAGTTAAAGATACATTTGCTAATGCTTAAGCAGTTAGTCTCGCTATTGCTCTTTTTGTTTTTAACTTTAAGTTCTCATTTTTTTTAAAGATTTTTTTTCCGCATTAGTGAAGAAATATTGGTAATATAAATAATTTCAAATTATGTGAGTACCGTTTGGTGTGGTCTAATTCGATTTGTGTGTTTCTTTTAAGACAAGATCCTCAAGATAAGATATTGTTTATCGCGGTTTATATTTTACCATTTTAAGCTATCACAAAATATTTAATATGATTTATAGTCATTAAAATAGTGATTATGATAATTAATCATGTTGTCAATACTATTGGATCTTTTATCATTTTACATCTACTTTGAGCCTATAAATAGAGATTGATTTTTCCCTTTCAAGATGTACAACAATAAGAGAAATTTCTCTCTATTCTTATTCCAACCAAAACATTCGATTTAAAACACTCTCCTTCTTCTTAGTGTTTTCATAATCTTTTCTGAGTTATTATTTCACACAGAACTTCTTCGGCATAAATGCAAACTAATCTATCCTGCAATGTCATGTACAAAGAATGTCTCATATTTTCTGCTTCTACTCTAACTTAATTTTCTCATCTTTTCTGCTTCTATTCTAACCTAATTGTTTCACATTCACTACAGTAAAATAGGTCTATAGCAACATTTTAAAATGTTGCTAAGAATACTCTCAGCTTAAAAAAAACCACAAAAAAATCAGCCAAACCAACATCGTAAACATTAGCGGCGTTTTTCTTTCACAAAATGCCGCAACAAGTCAAGTTTTATAACGGCGTTTTTATACAAATGCAGCAACATGTCAGGTTCTATAGCGGTGTTTTTTATACAAACGCCACAACAGGTCAAGTTCTATAGCGGAGTTTTTTTACACGAGTGCCACAAAAGTATTGTTCTTTAGCGACGTTCCTGATACAAACGCCGCAATAGCATGGTTCTTGTAGACACTAATTTTCGACTGTTGGAGAGCCCCCTCCCTTTCTTCTTGTCCCCTCTCTCTCTGACCAAATTTTTTTTCTTTTTTTCTCTTTCGGTGAAATGATGTAGTAGCTTAGTAGGTTAGGTTTGTTTACTTTTTTTTATTTTTTTCATCTCCTATTTATTATTTTTTTGTACCTAATAGTTATATATATATTTATTTTTATTTATTTTCATTATTTTTTCTTTTTCATTATTTTTTCTTTTTTATTTATTGTTTTTCTTCTTTTTATTTCTTTTATTTTATTTGTTTCTGTAATTTAGGTAACTTATTTGGTTTTTATATATTTTGTATTTATTTTGTTTTATTTCGTGACATTTTTATAGTTATTGTATTTTTGATTCTGTATTTTAATTTAGCTAATATTTTTCTGACCTTTTTTAAAGGGTACACTTTTAAATCCATTAAAGGTGAGTAATTCGGATCAAACTTTTACCTTTTAATTTAAACTTTCAATTTTCTTAATTAAAGACAACTGAAAATTAATTAGTACCGAAATGGCAGTTTAAGGGTGCTAATCTTTCCTTGACTGTAACCGACTCTCGAATCCTATATATCTTTGGTAAGATACAAACCAGGTAAGAAATCGAGGTATCCGATCAACCTATTTGTTTAAAAATAAATGATCGGTGGCGGCTCTAACACATTTCATTCAAGTCAAAGGTTCCGACAGCTTGGAGACTCTGCTGGGGACTTAAGGTAAGTGAGTCAGGCTAAAGGTTAATTTCCAGTTGTCTTTTTAATGAAAATGGTAAGTTTAAACTTTAAGGTAACTTTGCGATCCTTTTTACTTACTTTTTATTATTATTATTTTTAAATAAATAGTTGTACTGACGGTTTCTTTCAAAGATTTCATCCTTTTAAGCTTTTTTCCATCTAAGGTTCTATACCCGAGCTCTGGACCCTTTTAAGTGGGGGTGAAAGCGACGCCTTCGTGAGAATTTATTCTCTGCATAGGCCTAGCAAGTAACCTTCGAGATACATATACATTATGTCTTCGTGTGAATTTATTCACCGTGCGGGCATAAGGGAATGTATCATCTCAAGTTTAATTTAGTCCACATGAGCTTGTAATGGGCTTAGGACTAAGGGTCTGGCAAGCCCAAGGGGGCCCCAACAAGGAAAAATCGGGTACCTTTTTTATAATCTAAACCAGGAGACTACAAGGAATTAGAGTCCACCCCAAAACCTCATTCTAAACCCTAGGTTATCTTGAGTTATTTCCTGCTTTACTTTCTGTTCAAAGCATTCGAACTAGAAAGATATGTGGTTAAGACTTGTTCAAAATTACCATGCGAGATAGCGATCATGTATGGGTAGGAATTAAAACATGTGGGGTAGGACTTTTATTTTCATTATTGTTTTGATTTACCTTGCTAACTCTTTTTCATTTTTTGTTCTCTTTCATTTTTTATCATTTACATCATTCAAAAGAGGTGTTGATCCACCAAAAACATGTTCGTTAAACGTAAATAAAAAGAAAGGGGTTATAATACAAGAGATGAAAAGCTCAGGAGTTCGGTTATGGTCCGAAAAGACTCATAATAGATCGGGTTTACACCAAGCACACTAAAATTCAACTTTTTGAGCTGGCAAAAGTTGCAGGGGCAGACGAGAAAAGGTCACTGACCTGGGGAGACCCTTCAAAGGTGACAAGAACAAGATGACAAAGCGATAGTTAAAATGGGAGGCCATTGCTGACGAATTCAAGAAACAGGCTTCGGATAGTTCCTCCAATGGTGTTTCCGTTAGGGACAGACCCAACAGAGAGTGAAAACCAGAGATGTAGCCATTCAAGACTTCTTGGCACGAGTACAAAAAGAAGCCCAGAGAAAGTTCGACAGGATATTTAGCCGGTGACAGAAAAAGGCGGAAGACGAATCAACCTGTCAGAAGTTGTTCGGGGTCTAGAAGAATATACCTTTAAAATGTTTTTTGTATCTTAAGAAATAACACTTTTATCCCCAATAAAGATTATTTATAATAACAGACTCATTTTTGGATCAATGCCTCAAACATTTTATGTATCATGCATTCTTGCATATTCCGCATAATTTTTCTTCTTTTCATTACATTCACACTAACTAACAAGAGATGTGTCTCATAAAAAAGGGGAACAAACACTGGATACACCACCTCAAGCATTGGACACACCCCATCCGCATAACACCCGCTCAAAAAAGAAGAAGATGGAAGCGAAAATTGCTCAACTTGAGGAAAATATGCTGAAGTTATAGAGGGGGCTAGAAGAAAAGATAAATAAGAGCAATCAGAGTACCCTATATAAAATCACGAAGAGCCAAGAGTCCTTGGTCGATCAGATTATGGCCAAGTTATCTGGCTTACATCAAAGTATGCCTGGGGCAGGTTCGTCTGATGGGGTAGCTAAGCCACCTACCTCCAGGTGGTTATCACACCTGGAATCTTACCCGAAATTCAAGGGGACCTATCCGCTACAAAAGAAAAACCCATCTGCTGTAAAGATACAAACTGCAGTATCTAATCCTGAGAATAATTTGGGTTATTACCATATACCAGATTTGGACGAAGAGGGCAAAACAAATAAGATGGAGGAGAAAATCAAGCAATTGGATGACAAATGAAGGTAGTTAAAGGAGACCATGACTACCATGGAGTTGATGCCGCGAAACTCAGTCTAGTCTCACAGTTGGTTCTTCCTATGAAATTTAAGTCCCAAAATTCGAGAAGTTCGATGGAATAGTTGTCCATCCGCCCACATCACCATGTTCTACCGAAAAATGACAGGATATAGAGGAAATGATCAACTCCCGATCCACTTCTTTTAGGAGAGTCTGTCGGGCTCAGCCATCCGGTGGTATAATCAACTAAGCAACCCCATATCAAGACTTGGAAGGATTTAGCCAAGTCATTTCTAGAACAATACAAACATGCCAATGACATGAGGCCAGATCGAGTTATGCTATAAAGCATGGAGAAGAAGCATAACGAAAGTTTCAAAAAATACGCACAGAAATTGAGGGATTTAGCTGTGCAAGTTTATCCACCCTGGATGAGAAGAAAACTAGGAAGCTCTTCATGTAAACACTGAAGGCTCCTTACTTCGGGCACCTGGTTGCAATCACATCCGGTAATTTTTCGGACTTAGTTATGGCTGGGGAGATGGTAGAAACAACCATAAAGCAAGGCAAAATTGAGGAAGGGGATGCAAGCAAGAAACCTCCTATGAAGAAGAGGGATAGAGAGATTAACAACATCAACACCTAAAC